CCCCACCCCCCACCCCCCCTCTTCCGAAAGCACCGCAAAGTCCTATCGCAGCACCGAAACCGCAAAACCTGCAGAAAAACGCGCGGCCTAATACGGACTTGTGTGGAACTAACTATTGCGAAGGTTGCAGTAAGCTTTGAGATTGTATTGGGGTCAGATACTATCTAGAATGGCTACTAAAGGGTTAGTCCCCTGATCTTTCGAAACCATGAAAGAAAGTAACACGTTGCGCCATCTGCAGGTGCCTATGCACTCAGGGCTTCTGTTGTCTGGAGTGGTACACGGATACTGAAATATACTGCGCAAGGAGGCATTGTTGCAAAAACCACCTCTTTCCAGCTGTGTAAACTCCGAAAAGTGAGGCGTGCGTGCAAAGACCCTCAAAAACCTCGTGTTCATGCTGCATCGCGTGATGGCTACGGCTACACAAGTGGCATCTGATCTGCAGGACAAGACTTCCTGGAAACTCGCAGCCGAGGCGCAAAGCAAAGGCCGACGGAAAGCCATTTTGGAGTAGTGTAGGCGCTGTCTTATGACGGTGAACTCGAGCAACTGGAAGCTGGCTACGGCAGTGCTGCATGCAGTGCGATCGTCTTCTGGCAGCAATCTCGCTTACTCTACATGCGTGCCAAGAGAGAACTTAAATAGCACACCTATGGGCTGGAAACATGTGTGTGATAGAACGTACGCAAGCCCACAAACACGTACAGGAAAAGTGCTCTGAGTATATACCATCAGAACAGATGTTTAGAACAAGCTCGAGACGTCGGGGTATGCCAATGGATGAATTAGCAACACAGCTCGAAGCCCAAGGCACCTGACACCCTGGATATGTAGCGTCGCGTCCTTTTTTGCCGTTGTATTGACGTGCTCGCGCGACAAAACAAATGCAGAGTGGGCTATCGTGGAAGCTGACATTTGCATGGCACAGCCGGCACCTCGGACACACCATGACACACTTTTCTCCGACGCGAAACAGGGCGCAATCCACTCATGCCCGCAACCGTCTCATCTTCGGTCAGGACCTTCAGTGCTTGAATGGGCGTGCTTTACTGTGCTTTTACACCTCACCTGCATGTGCCAGTGCCAGAGAACTGGCGGGTTTCTGGGATCATCATCATCATCATCATGATATCGTTTTCGTCGTCGTTATCACCATTTTTGGTCACCACGGTGGTCATCGTCAACTGAAGCCTAAAGCCCGCCGACCTTTGTGACGTGCTGCGGATGTTCTAGGCGCCGATGGGACGCACCCTGGCACCACGACCGCGGCCACCGCGGCCGCGTGGACGCGGCGCTTCGGCCTGGTAGCTTGCGGTTTGGAAAGGCAGGTAGAGTCACGGATCGTCAATCCGTATCACTGGTCACTCCAGCCTTCGTCTGATCCTGCGCCCTCTCACGAGACTTCGACGTGCGCGGATTCGGACGGAAGCCTAGGCTTCGGGTGATGCCACAGGGACGCAAATGCAGGCTTGCTCGAATGCGCCTTGGTTGCGGCACTGTGGCCGGCAATTGTTTTTTTCTTAGAAGTTGCCGAATCCAGGCAGCTCGATGGACGGTTTGCCTGCTCCAGTTCCTGCACATGGCTTCTGGACTATGGTGGCTCTTCAAGTTCGCCACAGCTGCAGCTCTCCAAGCGCTGTCTGCGAGACCCTGCTCGGGCACTCGCTTCTGGCAGATTGAAAGTTGTAATCTTCCTGATTAGACTGCCCGAGCTTGCAATCTCAGAAATTCGCAGACCACGGCACATGCCTCGAAGGACTGTGAGATCATGAACTGCTCGCGGTCCATCTCCTGGCAGGCGCCAAGAGCTTGGAACTCAGGGACTCATCACCTAAACTTCTCGAAGGCAGAGAGGCCACTCTGTTGCGTGAGCTGTCCCTGTACACGAGGAAGTACTCGTTGTGGCTATCCAGAAGCAGCACGGCATCTTCCAGGGAACTTTGCTGGCCGCAAAGCTCCAAGCCCGACTCGGTCCAGGTGGCGGCTGCAAGTCCCGCCTGCCGTGGTCACCAGCTTGATGTCAACATGAGACCCCATGCCCACGCAACTCACATGGAAAGGCAGTGGCAACAGCAACAGCACGTGACAGCTGCATTCTCTCTGACAGCACCAGGATCAGCAAATGCAGCTACGCTGGCTCTGTGGAGGAGGGACCTGAATGGCCTCTAGAATTACCATCGCGATTATGCGAATCGCACAGTATTTCTCATGGAAGAAATCTAAAAAGGAACGATCCCACCTTTCGCGTGACGTCCTGGATTAATCGGTTGTCGTTCCGCTGGAACCACGTTATACGTTCAGCCTTTGCAGGGGCAGCCGGGGGCACTCGCCGCGGATATGTAACTGCTGTGCACTATCGTCCTCTCGAAGGCCAGCAGCTTGCAAATAGCTGCTCAGTCAAGTTTACCAGACTGTCAAAACGTCAAATGCTCTTTCGGATTCTTTCGTGTCCATTTGCTGTGCTGTTGGCAAATTGCAATTTCAGCGGCACTTTACAGTAAGTGTCGGGAGCAAAAGCAAGACAAACAGAGAAGCAGAGAGAGAGAGAGAGAGAGAGAGAGCGAGAGCGAGAGGGAGAGAAAGCAAGCCAACGCGGATCGCTGCGGACCTAGTAACTCCACCCACGTGTGTGAGCACGAAGATGTTTGGACATGCCACTTGCAGTTGCAATTGTGAAACACTGTCCTGTCCTATGCTTGCTGGCAGCTAGCTCCACCGCAAGCGCAATATCCCTCCTGCAAACCCTCCACTCCACTCGGGGATACATCTGGACTTGAGTTTCCGGACCCATACTTCGAGTGAGGACAGCGCAGTACAAAGGAAGGCAGTGATTGTCGTACAATTCATTGTAAGCAACCAGTCGTACTGTACAACCGAGGATGCTGGGAGGTTTGTTTGGATGTGTCTGATGCACCCCCTCTTGATGGAGGCGGAGGCTAACATCATCACCTGGCTTCTTGTAGCATGATTTGAAACTGCCACTTGCGTTTAAGACTTCTTGCGACCGTGCTTCCGGGAGGGCATAGAGTTGCTTACGCAGTTCGAGTTCTCTCCGAGCACCCTCTGCATCGGCATCGCTGTCGCAGTAGATCCTAAGAGGGAAGGAACAGTTGCCGACTTGGACTTTTAAAGTGCCGTGCTGCTAAGATTCAGGATCTTCCGCGGTTCCGATGGATCGGCATCCTTCTCTAACACGAAAGCCAAGGGCGACAGGGTCTTCACTTTCGGCAAAAACTTGCTGACTAGCAGTCGGTAACGTTTAGAAAAACCCTCGAGGAGCTGGCCCTGAATTCTCTTGGCTGTCCTGGGTCTCTTGAATCCGAACCTCGACGTTGAACTCCTGGGAGACGTAACGTCCAAAGCAAGTCGAAATTCTCGGATTGTGGCGATCGTCATCGGCGAATTACAACTCCATGTGGCAATGTCTGCACTGGCTCCTTTTCCACCTTCTTCACACGCTCCCCGCCTTTTCCACAGGTGCGGCCGATAAGACCCGCATCCACCTCGCACAGGTCTAAACAGCAACAATCAACACACCAAAAGCGCATCAACAGAAACTTTGCTTTGCTTAGGGGGTCAGGTCAAGGCCATGGTTCTACGCCTGGCCCGCGCCGGGGCGCTCCCCTCTCCACCATATTGGTAGAGGGGCTCAGCTGTGCAACGGAGTGTTTGTGTGAAAGCGGAGCATTGTGCGGGTGTGCCCGTGGAGGCAAAAAAACAGCGTACTCAACTCCACTAACAGCAGAACTAGCTCAAGGTTGGTGCCCCCGCTGCGCTCTGAACCAGGTATCCCCCTGGCCTGCCTTAGCCCTGCCTGTATCCCGAACAGAAGCCTGTACCCCGTCAGAGACCTGCGACCTTCCGCTCAACCCTGAACCTGCTCCTAGCTTCGGCGAGGGCTGGCACGAAGCAACAGCGACATACACTTTCAGCTACAGCAACAGGCCGCAAGGAGTGTGTGCCTCTTTGCCGAAGGCGTTTGGTCTACTCAAGTCCGGCGTGTGCTCGCCTCCTTCTGTGGCTAGCTTCACTGGACTCACTCAGTTGGTCTTCTTCACGTTTTTGTTGGTGCCCCCTACTGGGCTTGAGGCTGTGGAGGGTGCCACGGCACTGTTTCAGCTTCGTCCGCAGTTCCACTTTCATCAACAGAAACTCTCTTTCTTTCTTTTGCCAGGGCTAGGGGCGAGAGGGGCAAGCCCCCCTCGCCCGCGCGCGTTAGCGCCCCCGACTGGTGGGGAAACTCTCTCTCTCTCTCTCTCTCTCCAGGGCATGGGGACGGGTCAACGTCCCCGGGCGAAAGGCCCACCCAATGCTTGTTTGGGCATCGGGGAGTGAAAATCGAGCATGGATTACCAACAGGCTACAGCCGTAAAGTGTACGATGACAAAGGCAAGGTAATCGCGTGCTCACAAACAAACATGCATGAGGATGTCTGAGTCTGCCCTGTCAAAATAAAGAAGTAGGCTGGCAGTGACATCCCCCTGCGGACCGGGCGAGCCCTGCCTCGCCGGGGACACTTCCCCCAAGCACTGTGTGATAGATCTCTCTCTATCTATCTATCTATCCCTAGCTACTAAGTCTCATGATCCTTTAGGTGGGGCTGCTAAGGGGTGTAGGGGCTTTCGGGACGTTGGGTTCGTCCGAAAACTCTGAGGATGAGGATGGGTGTGAACATGCCCACAATGATGCAGCTTTCTCTTGCAATGCTCGAGAACTTTTCGGTACCAGCAGCAGCCTCTGCCCACAAGAGCACTATGAAAACGAAATCGAGCCTTTGTAGTACGAGGCTTCACATATGTTCTCATCAACATCTTCCCCCGCACGACTTTGAACTTGAACATGAGCTCTGGCAGAAATTGCAAAAGGATGCAGGCTTCCGAGGTTCCAAACCAGCACTTCCGCACAAGAGCTCCCGGGGCACGATGGTTTCAGGCTCCACCAAGTTCCAGCCGGCATTGTCCCTCGTCAGCTCGGCAAGGACGCAGCGTCCAACCTCTAGATTGCCATCTGCATCCTGTTGCACGTAGGCTTCCGCACCATCTTCGCCGAAGTCTGCTTTCAGGATGTACGTCTCGTTCTGTCCGTTTGAGGGCTGCTCTCCAAACTCATGGGGCAAGATCTGGAAAGTGCGATGGTAGTCGCCGACCTCCTGCTCGTCTGGTCGAAGTTCAAGCCGTGCCCGTGTCGTTGGAGTGAGGTGCGCCAAGCGTTCCTTTCCAACGGCTGAAATGCTGAACTCAAGGTTCGGTGTGTCATCTGCTGTTAGATTTGGATACAGGCATAATGGTGCCCTTCCATCGGGAACAGCTCCAACAAACAGGCCATCACCGTTGCTATGCAACTGCCACACAGCACCTGAGGAACAGGATTGGATCGTATACCCCAGACACATGCATCGAAAGGCCTTGCTCAGCTTCTGTTGAAGGGTGTGACATCGCTCGAGGCATTCCTCTGTCAGCTGATACGTGGAATTTGCAACAGCCACCTGGTGGCTCAGGAACGACACCAAGAAGGCAATGCGGAGTGCTGGGCACCAGACCTGTCCAGATGCTGCACACAATGATGATCCCACCGCACTAGCGCCGACGTATCCCAAAGCGAGAAATCCCTGCCTCAGCTCGCTGAATTCGAAACCACCATCTCCTGTAGCAGATAGATAACGTCGCAGCACACTGACGGATTCTGGGTCCACCAAAAGATGGCGCTCTATGCTGTGGCACATGCAGTAGCCGCGCCATAGATCAATCCCCCAACCGACGAATGGAATGGGCTCCAAGCCGCCGATGGAGGCCATGGATATGGAACCAAGCCAGCGACAGAAACGATTAGCGTTCTCCAAGTTGGTGGGCAGTCCAGCAGTCCATTCATGGATATGGCGCATTTCATTGGCGAATCGGATATGGTGCGCACTGCTGTACCGCAAACCAATGCCGCTGCTCATGCCGAGATGCCACCAGATGGATCTGCCCTTGCTTCAAGATCACCCCTGAGCAGCGGAGCTTGTCCTGTATGTCCTGCTGTATCTCCTGCAGCAACCCTTTGGTCGCAACCTCTCGGGCAGCATGTGAATCATCCCCCGTGAAAGCTCTATCATTACTGCCCACGTCAGAATCAATCTTGGTGCGCACCAGGATGACAGTTCTGAGTGCCTTCCGGCACTCTTTCACCACCTGGCTCGTCCACTCTCTGAAGCGTGTTGCTGCAACAATGAGCATGAGATCGCACTCTTGCACATTTAGCAAGTCTAAGGCTTCGGATTCCTTCTCAATTCCGGGTGTGTCGATGCGGGTCACCGCGACGCCATCCATGTCATGGTCGAAGTCTCGGCATTGTGTCCACGGCCCCAACCTCTGCAACTTCTTCGCGGCTGGGATAGTCTGGGAGCCCTCGCAGTCCGTTGATCAATGACGACTTGCCACTTCCAGACTCGCCCACGACACATATGCGAATGCGCCTGCCACTGATTCCTTGCAGATGCTTCAGCAGTGTGTCATATTTCGTTGTCAAAGGACATGGTGCATCAAATATCTGTCTGACATCGTTGTCCATCGCATCAATCGCAAAAACAGTATTTGCTACGCTGCATATGCGGCTGGAAGCTTTGGCAGCTTGCTGATTCTGTTTCTGCTTTGCGAACCTTCTGAAGAAGCCCAACCACAGTTGAGAAACTACGCTCGGACACGTTCTTGAGCCATACATGCATACATACAAGTACATGTGTGTGTGTGCATGTATACACACAGATGTATGTATGTATGTATGTATGTATGTATGTATGTATGTATGTATATATATATATATATATATACATGATATTAGTAAACAACTACGGCGGGTATGCAGATTTCGGAACCTGGTGTGGTACCATCCAGCGACACATGGAAAAAAGGACACACAAGCAATTGTGTAACGTCCCCTCAAGCTCAGCATCCACACAGTCGGAGAAACCCTGCCTCAAAGGAGAGGCGGGCGTCTTCACCTAGACCTTTCGCTTCGAGCTCCTCGGTGGGGATCGGGCATAGGCTGCGATTTCCGACTTGATTGGTTTCGCGTTCCGGCAACCTCATGCCCGCGCTGCCGTGCCTTCAACTGTGCCAGCTTCTTTGCACGCCGTCGATGGAAGGCCTCCACCTCAGCCTGGCGAGCACGGGGATCACACTCCTGCAGACCGTGGCGCTGCTGCCGAAGTCCGTCTGCCTGATGCATGAGGTGGATCTTCAACACCATGGAAGCCTCTCGTCAGACTTCGACTTCGAAGCTTGGAGCTCATTGGGCTCCACCCCAATTTGCAGCGAACCCCCTCCACGCACAGTTCAACGAAACTCGTCGGAGAAGCTCTGGCGATGGCGGCTTCTCCGCCGATTAGAATGACGGCGTCCAGCTCCTGCGGAATACGGGTGGACACAATCCCGACCTTTGGGAGAGCCCTTCGAAGCCGCCTGCGGGCTTCTGCCCTCCAAGCCCCTCCAGCCCCGTGTTCCGACGACAGCTGCACAGCTCTGGGCCAAGCTACTCCCTACAAACAGAGAGACAGGACAGGACAAGACAGGACAAGGAGAGAGCGAGAGGGGAGGAGAAGGAGAAGGCGCGAGTGATCGAGAGAGCGAGTGAGTGAATGAATGGGTGGGTGGTGGGTGGGTGGGAAGGCGGGTGGGCGGGCGGGGGAATGGGTGGTTAGGGCGAGTGAACGAGAGAGAGAGGGATACCAAACGAGGGAGGGAGGGAGGGAGGGAGGGAGGGAGGGAGGGAGGGGACAAAGAGCGACCACTCGTAGGTCAGGCATCCTGCACCACGACTCCATTTCCGCCGTGAGGATGCTCTACTCCGGGAGTGGCCAAATGCAGACCTTCGGGAAAGGCTGCGTGGCTGTAGTCGTGGCAAGCAAAGGAACAGAGCAGCAGCCAGAATAGCCTGGCCATGCTACATTGCTGCAACACTTGCCTGAACATTCGCGCAGCTTCCAAGAGCTGCTTTTGCAGTACTCAATGCTTATAATAGTGGTTTGAGAAGCAGCAGTAGTTCACAGCATCCGATGCCTGGGATAAGGAGCTGCAAACATGAGAATGGTGCGTGCGGTCTTCAAAGCCGATGCCCGACCGTGCTATGTCTGGGCACTCTGGTATATAGCCACACTACACTCTAAACATGTCCCGGGCCTGTCGTAGATCGCACCTGCTCCAGACATCCTCTTGCATCTGGTAGGCTCAGCCAGCTGTGTAGTTCCTGCGGCGTCTGTCCAAAGAACTCCACTTCAGAGCTCGTCCGGCCTTTGGCACTGTGTAGGGTATGCTCTGCAATGTCTCCTTACCAACGGGCACGGCAGCCCTCGTGAAGGCCAGGGGGTTCAGCGGCACTTGCCTCATCGGATAATCATGGATGGTTGAAGTGCACATGTACAATCACGAACACATGGGGAGCGACGTGGCAAGGGCATGGAAAATAGCAACATCAACAGCTGCAGCGGTGGTCGCATCGACAGCAGGTAGAGATGTAGCACTAGCGCACACTATTTAACCATACGAAGCCTTATGCTGGAACGCGATCTCGTGACGAGTGCATATGTCACAGACCTATCCATCCGTCAAACCGTCTACCTATCCATTTATCTATACCTATATTATGTCTCTCTGTATGTGTACCTAGCACATGCAGTTGACTGTCGTGATCTTACTGGCAGGGCTGGCAACCGAGTTGGCAAATCCACACAAACCAAATCAACAGTACCAAGTGCGATGCCAATAGAGACTGGCGGTCATGCAGAGAACAGAAGTGACACATGGAGCCGAACATGAGTTGTATGTTTCGCATGACGCCGCATCGTGGCATCATGCTCAGCAGCACGGGGCTCGTGCATGTCTGGTTCAGGCCGTGCGGCTGGCTGGGTGCCCGTACAGCGTCCAAAGCCACGGCCACCTCCCGACCCTCCACGACCACAAGAATCCGGCCCTCCTCTCAGGCCAGTCGGTACTTCGACATGAACATGAATGCTAGTCTTCACACATAAGTCACGCAAGCAAGCGTTTGATGCATGGATGCGTGCTTGTCTTCTCCAAGAGGACAGTTCATGCACTTCCGGAACCTACTTCGGTAAGGATCCGACCATGGAGACCCACTTGAACCTGGCACTGTCCTGCTCGCAAGCATTGTGCGAGATGGAGGCTGCAGACCAGTGTGCTGGGCCATCCTCTGTTGCCGGAAATCGCCTCAGCTCAGCATCTCATATCTCTACTAGACAATAACAAGTCGATAGTGAGAAAGCCCAAGCAAGGCGTCCCAAAGCCCTTCTGTTTGCAGTTGTCTTCGGCCCCTTTCCAAAGGCTTGGATGCATCACAGCGGCACTTCGACCTCGGCCCCGGCAATGAGCTGCGGAGGCGAGTCGACGGGAAAGACCCTGGCCCTCGGAGTGGAAAGCGTATCACACGAGGTTGGAGCCTTTGCGTAACTCCGATGGACTCACCGCCTTTGATCTACGTAAGCACATGTGGACGGTGTCAGAAGGAGTCAGCTAACATGATACGGCGAGACAGCGGCTCAAAAACTCACCAGTGGCCATGGGCTGGGACAAAATGACACCGTACAGCCTGTTCCTACGAGTGCACTTAAATCTTCAGGAGGCAAGAATTTCATGTTCCAAGAATGTGTGGCAACATCACGGAGCCAGCGTTGCGAGAGAGGCTAGAACAGGGAAGCATAGCTAAGGGCCTCATAGGACCCAATTTCGACTTGCCATACGTGCTACCGGATGCTGAGGGTTAGTCGAAGCCTGCCCCAAAAGTACCCAAAAGACTTCAGATGAGTGCCAAGTGATTGCTAAATTAGCTGCTAAATGCTGGGTAAGTGGCCGGACATGTTGGCAGGAAAGCTCGCGACTGGGCCAAATACCCCGGTCGAAGGCGACCCAGACCTGCGCAGTGGCTTTGGGCATCTAGCTGAGGCTTCAATCACATGTTACAGTACCTTACTATTTCCAGGTGCCAAAACCACACTGTACTCTCTTATACCTGCACGTACATACATACATACATACATACATACATGCATACATACATGCATGCATGCATACATACATACATACACATGCACATGCACATGCACATGCACATGCACATGCACATGCACATGCACATGCACATGCACACACACACACGTATAGACGTACACATACACATACACATACACGTGCACATACATACATACATACATACATACATACATACATACATATGCACATGCACATGCACATGCACATGCACATGCACATGCACACGCACATACATAAACATACACATACACATACACATACACATACACACATACACGCATACACATACACACATACATGCAGACAGACATACAGACATGCAGACATACACATATACACATATACACATACATATACACATACATATACATACATTTACAGTCATACAGACATACGCATACACATATACACATACATACATACATACATACATACATACATACATACATACATACATACATTCATACGTACATACACACATGCATACATAGATGCGTACATGCATACATGCATACATACATACATGAATACACAAAGCCAGACAAACTGCCGGCCAGCCAGGCAGAGAGACGGAGCACCGGGAATCACAAACTATGCGCTACAGACTTGCTCAGCATCGCTCGGCTACACTAGACCCGATGCACACAGGATTCGGAGTACTTGGTAGTAATCTGTGCTCTTGATAAATTAGTAAATACCCGTATATGTTTTCCGGAGATCCTGGATCTGGCTGGCTCAAAGAATACCCCTATGATTAAGGGAAACAAATTTCCTCCCTTAACTGTTAATGTTTTGGACTCGGCCACGTGAGTTAAAGGCGCAAAAACATTCTACCGGTGCAATTAGAAGCTTATAGAAGCGTTTAACTACTACAAGTACTACTACTACTACTACTACTACTACTACTACTACTGATGAGCCAGTGCTATGTCTTTTTACATGTCCGCTGGCTGCTGCGCGCCACCTGTGGGCTGATGACACCCCCCCCCCAAA